CTGCTCCACCCGATTGATATAAAGCAATGAACATATTGAACCTTCAAAATAAGAATTATTGAAATACAGGAAACGCCATGACAGTGGCGCCACCGACAATTGGCAACCATTCTTTATGTTAAGAATTGCAGCAGTTTGTCAATGAGCAGTTAGCTTTACTTCCATATTTTTAAAACTCGTCCTCTTTCACTTCAAATAATTTTCCCCATCTGTCAAACTCCTCTATCACGTCAGCTTCCCTTTTCCCATTTGTTTTATTCTAATAATCCTTTCGCGCAGTTCTGTCTGAATCTCGTTACAAGAGCACTTTATATTTCAAAGAAAGGATAGGTAAAATTTATTTTTAAATATAAATAAATATAATAATATAACAATAAATTTTTCATTTATGATAACAATTTCTACGCAGAAAATTGATCTCTAGAGTTGCTTACTCGTAAGCCTTGTGAGATTTAGACAATTGAAGAGCTACTTAGCAGCATGATCTTCGAGGCCATCCTGGCTTACTACTGAGCAGGCATGACAAGCTCCTAACCAAAGAAATAAAATACTCTGAGTCCTTGGACCACGGAAAGTCCACTGAACTTTTGCACAGCACGGGCCAAAGGCGATTAAGATGTTCCTGACGTGTGTCTGAAGAATTTGATGAGGAACGGGACGACAGGTGATACAGGTGAATGAGAAGGCAGAGAGCGAAACAAGTGACGCAGCAACTCGAGAAAGCGGTTCGGAAGCAGCAGGGCAGTAGGCTAGGGGCAAACGTCGCATTGTACCAATTCAAAATATTTTGCGGTTCCTGCGCTTGATGACAGAGTTCACGATCAAGAAACAGCCCCTTACAAAAAAATGTAGGTGGCCAGGGGTGCCTACAACAAAGGTGGGAGTGGTATGAAATGGGACCCCTTCTCTGCCCGCTGATCTCTTCACTGGTGCGACTCCCCCGCTGTCCTCCCTAGCGCTAACGCTCTCTCTGGTGAACGGCTAGAGTCAGGTGGGGAATAGTGGATGGGCGGGCAGCGGCGCGAGTGGCGCTGGTATGGCCTTGCTAGGCCACTGAAAACATACTGTTTGCTGTGAAGCGCTTGCCGTTCTACACCCTTAGGGTAGCCTTAGGGTAGCCAGGAGCTTAGCGGGGCCATAACAGCGCCACTCGCGCTGCTGCCCGCCAATCCACAATTTCCCGTCTGACTCTAGCCGTTTACCATAGGGGCCCGCCTGCTTTTTGACCAAGTATATTTTTCCTTCCCCAACCTTCTACGTTGACATGGTATTTTCCTTTACCTAGTTCTTCGCACAAAACCACCTCCACTAGCCTTGGAATGGTTCTCCGCTCCCATAAGACCTCTGTTGGGTATATGTGACCTTAAAAATGCTCTAAATTTGTCTACTGCATAATCTTAAATTTGTGGAAAATAGCATTAGGAACAACCCATCCCAGACTCTTCATCACGTCTCCAATAAATAAAATAAATAAATTTTCCCCATTTTCCTCAACATCCGCCAATTCGACTTCTCCAAAAATCTCAAATACAAAGCCGCCTATTAGAATCACAACACACAGAAACCTTAAATACGACCGCTCGTCAGTAAAACTCCCATACGAATCCCTCCACCCCCGCTATGTTCGCTCATTCGGCGATTGATTCCGGACTGGCGAAGCTTGAGCAAGCAGGACTGCTCTGGTAATGATTCTATAATTTCTTTCGCTACTTTTCTTGCTGAAGACGTCATAATCATAGGAGCCAACGAAATATGAGTCACTTTACTTCTTCCACCGCTTCAGTTTTATGCATGCAACGTAAAGCAGTTGTTCCCTAGCTCTGTAGATCCTAGCCGGAGCTATGGCCGCCAAGTTCAATGCTAATAGTCGGCAAAAGCCCACTAGGCGACGCGAAACTATGCTAGAATAGTTTTCGAATAAATTACGCAAACAAGTGATTGGAATTCGAATGAAAAATTGAAACCCACACTAGGTGCCGTCATCCATGAAAATCAATAATAGCTTTTCGCATAAGAAGGTCCTGTACGGGACAGCCCGCTGTCGATAATGATCTATGCAATGAACCGAAGCGTTGCATTGTTGGGAATTGAAATCGAAATTCTTGGAAATCTATGATGCGTAAAGTGTCAGCTAGGGCTGGGCAAAGGAAAGTACACCTTTACACAAGAAGACGAACGAGCAGGGTGAGGGTGACGTAGAAACCGTAGTTTGAGCTCTTTGTCAATAGGTATCTGCCAGCCTGTTACTTAGGCTCTGTTTTCAAGGAGTGACCTATGTCTAGTGATTTATATTCGGGTGAGTCAGTGCTGCTATTGAAATTCTTCAATTTACACTAAGTTTAAATAATCAACCTGGATGACTCTGCAAGCAAGCTTCACAGTGAAGTAAGTCCCAAAAAATCCAGAAAAATCCAGAACAACATTAATGGGAACCGTTTTTCTTCAATGATTTTTCAGAAGAGCTGTGTCTGTATGATGAAACAACTTTTCCCTTCCAAACCTGCCATTGATATTTCTCTATTTCATATTTCTCATTTCATTATTTCTCTATTTCAGGATTCTAAGAGAAGTCTGTTCGATAGGTAATCATCCCTTACAGGCTCTCGAGAATCTTTCAAAATAACTCGGACAATTTGAATCCCTCACCCTCCCACCCTATCCCTCACAAAACTACTCCACTTTCAGCGCAATAAAACTCTCACCAGATAGAAAATAAAATTTCACCTAAAATAATGGGGTCATGTCGTACTCCAAAAAATGAGTTCTCGGCTTGACTACTCAACTTCCCGCCACAGAAAAAAGGGTGAAGGGTTGATTAGCTACTTTTGGGATGCACCACGCATCCTTCTCCCTTTCAGAATCGTCGTGTTAGTTGAAGGCGGCGTAGGCATTACAATGGATTGCATATGCCATTCGATGTATTAAAAAGCAGTGTTTTCATCTTTCCAGGCAATTCTGGTGCCAACCACCCGACAAATAGGGAATAGAAGAAGTGGTTAGTCTGAACGGGATTTTACCTGAGATTTGACCCCCTACTGCGCGCGTGGGAAGTGGTGCTGCCACTCACCACCCACACTATTTGATCACCTAATACAGTGAGAAATTTTGTGTTCGAATCCATAGAAGGGGTCGTAGAGAGCGCATCAGAGTTTTTTCAGCTTAAGCTTTTTTCTCTTTTAGCTAGTCGGAAAGTGTTTAAAGTGCTGCAGATCAATAAAAACGCTATTTCTCGAAATGGTTCTCTTAGAAGTCATCCTGGCGCTCTCTAAAGGTGCCCAGAAGCCAGCCACCTGAAGCCATCAGATGAGCACATATGCAGCATAGAGTGCGTCTTCGTGGAACTAACCCATCTTGAGCTTTGATTAAAACTATTGATAGAAATGGCTCTTATCTGGAGGGCTCTCATTAGACAACTGACAGCTTCAGATTCAGACGACGATGAGTACGACGACGATGAATCACCCGAGGCAATCGATGCGCATGCATTCCGTCGTCTCCGATTGGCGGACACACGAGCTCGATGGGCGGAGCCAGAGTGGTTGGCGGTGGCGTAATCGCCTTTCACCATTTCGCCCGCATTCTATTCAGCACTTCTCCAATAGCCAATGCTCTGCGGTTAGTTTCAAAAAAATCAATTCAGGTTATTGATTGGATCCCTGGAAGTTACAGTTCGGGGATTAGGGGCTCTATGCTCCAAATACCCTTGAAACGTGGATAGGGAGCATTCCTATAGAGCACATAGGTCCGGTAAAGGTTAAAGCAGTCTCGAGACGGACTGAATTGAGAAGCGTTCCAATATCAGATCCAAAGGTGATTCAGTATATGTGGCCGGTGTAGATAACACTCCGCTTCTGGATACCCAAACCGATGTTTGCTTTGGGTTCAACATAGTGCGGGTTCAGTAAACAGCCACGGATTGATAACGCATTGCTCCTTCCAATTTGTCATCTGAATGGTCCCAGTTGTACGTCAAGTTTCCTTTGAGTTCGGCCCTTAATACATTCACAGCCACCCTAAATTAGGTGGGACATTCTAAGATAGTACATGGTTATTTAGTATAAATATTTTCGGATAGCAGTGATAGTAGTTGAATTTGACCCTTGGCATTTTCTCGTAGGCGTTTTACATTTAACTGTGTTTAGCCAATATCAGTACCTTCGCATTCTCGTGTCACTGCACCTGTTACCATCGTGTTACCATTTTTGGAGGCGAGGGTGACACATCAACCTTTTGGTCCGTCTGATGTACTTTGGCTCAAAGTGGCCTGTTTACTTCTACACAAAGGCTGAAGTTCTTTGGACCACTACAAAGAAACAGCGGCTGCACTTTCCGGCCTTTAACTCTGCTAATTTTTGATTTTCGTTATATTTAGTAGCATTTGGACGGATCCACCAGCTGTTTCGATGTTCGCTGTGATTTTGGAAAATTACTGAAGTGCCTGAATAGGCAGTGTTTTTCATTTGTTCTTCAACATAATGACTTTTTGTCTACCCGTACGGGGTCCTTCGGTTCAGAACGGCTCCTCCCACTTCCTCTCTATTTCTGCAGAACAAACCCTTATCTCATTTGTGATTGACTCATAACAGCTTTTATTTCGTATCTTGAATTAAAGTTGCATATTTACGAAACAAGCCAGTAAATTCATCATGTTTCTCTGACTTGAGACAGATTTTTCTCAGTGAGATTTGCGTCTTTCAGTAGGCAATCAGTTTTTGACTGTCTATTGCTTGGTTTCGTCTGTGGACGACTTTTTTGAAATCACTATTTAATTCTGCCACAACTCTGGTTCTGTGCTATCGAAGAAAAGTGTCGTACTTTTTCGGTGGGGGGAGGAGGAGGGGGAAGGGGTGGCAGCTAGTCGAGTGCAGATAGCCATACGACAGTCGCCTGACACTAATCAGGAAAGTCTTTCAGCACATGAACCTTCTTTAAAAACAGTTTGTTGCATGTCATCGGGACACGTGCATGGAACATATATCTGATGATCATTTTTTCTGAATGGCCTTGGCATTGCCAGAAAAAAAGGCAGAAATGTTTCCTCGAGCAGCGAAATTTTTCCATTCTTCAAACTATACAAACATTTGTGGAGCTAAATGGTTGCATTTAACAAGCTTTTTGTTTACTGAATAAGATTTAGACATTTACGAGTGTAAACCAGAAAAGTGCAAAAAATGGACGTGCAGAGGATCGGACGGTCACAAGCCAGGTCTGACATGTATTCAGGCACTAGTCCCGAGCAGTTAAAGACAAAATTATTTCTCGTTTTTATGCTCCCTTGCTCAGTCACTTAACATGCAATAATTTATGCTCCCTGCTTCCGTCCCTATAACATGCAAAATTACGTTTCGAAAAGCGCCACATGTCCCGAAAGAGCTTCCTGGTAAGCCTTAGAAGAGGAAGGGATTCTAGAGAAAAACGTGAGAAAGTTTAGTCCTTCCTGGAGTTTCTCCTTTTCTTGGGCTTAGTCATAGTTTCACCTACCGGTTTTCAAACACCTTGTTTTGAATGTTTCACCTCCCTCCCTCCGAACCATGATCACCTCCAAACGGGAAACTATCCAATGAAATAAGGTAGAACTTCAAAATGCATTTGCATTCCAAAAAAATAATTTTCGAGCACATCCCTGCCAGATTACTGAAGTGTTGTAACGCGAAAAATTCCAGAGGGCGCTTAATCGATATGCTGCAACTACGGTAGTTGAATGCCGCTCGGGCGCCATTGATTCGCTCCATGGGGCAGAAGTCGCCATCAGAAAGCTCTATCGATCCACCGTAATTCGCTGTTGAGAAATAGAAACTGTGCAATGGGGGAGCGCTGGTTTTGCCTCCGCTGCTGGGTTTCCGAGGGAAACAAGGCCGTGCTGTCTCAATGCGTGTTTGTGTTGAGGCTTTCCCTCCTGCTCGTTTCGCTGTCTGCTCGGGCCGATCTGAAAAGTTCATGCCCTTTCCAAACTGGCCGCTTCGATCTGACACAGAAGAGTCCCATTGATTTCTTGCGATTTGAAAGCTCTGAACAGAAAAGTTGTGGGCGGCCGCTCAGAAGATCGAAGGGGGGATGAATAGGTCTATTTCAGGGGAAGGATCAGGAAATGGATCACAGGGAGAGCAGGAGGACATTACAGAGCGGATAGAAAGTACTCGAACTTGGACTAAATTTTTTGCCACATTCAATGAACAATAGTAAGTAGTAATTTATTGATTTCTCCTTGCAGGTTGTTTCCAGCCGCAACCACCGCCTCCGTCATCTGACGAGACTGCGAAAATGCTCGCTGCCAAGCCTAAGCACAACGAGCCACAATCTTTTGTAAACATTCAGGCCGACGAGGTTCACCTGTACTAATATAGTAAAAGTTTGATTTTGTTGTGCAGGATTGACTCGACTAAATGAAGTATATGTAGAATTACGATTTTCTCAGTGTCCATTACAAATTCATGCTCAAATTTCTGCTGACGACGTTTACGATTCACGTTCAGGATGCCTTAGCGAATCTGGTCGACCTCGAAGAGGTTGTTCTGAACTGGGCTAAGCTGATTTTCGACACCACGAAATCCAAGGCCGAGGCAAAGATTAAGAAGAAATATTTATCGGTGAGATTGTTTCTTTGACGTTAAACCTTACTTTTTCAAGGGCTTACCTTAAATTATGCCTAGAAAATTATGCTATGCCTTAGATAAACTTGCTGTATTATACAAAAAAGCATAATCTCAGCATTTAAATGATTCCAATAGTTTTTCAACCTGATTCTTAAATGACTGGGTAAAGTGATTAGGATAATGTACAAATTTTACTTTTTCCATTAATGCTCGCGGCCGCTGTTTCTTGCTTACCGAGTCGGGAACAAATTATTATGATTTCATGATATATTATATTAAATATTTATAGGTTTTATTGGAACTTCATTGTAAATAAACTACCGATTTAGAGGGCATTGGATTAAGGGGTTACGAACGGACGTCTTCCAAAATGCTCATTCATTCCTTTATCCGTTTAAAATCCGCAACATTTTCATTCCTGCCGGAAAAGTAACTGAAAAATAAGTTGGCATAAACTTGTTTATAATGGAGTTAAGGGAAATAGTGCATGTTAGTGTTGAAACTTCGCACTGAAAGATGACATTAATTCGGATACCAAAAGATATTATTAAAAAAATTGTCTTAGAATCAGTGCGACATTTCCAAGTATTTTTTATCCTTTTTTTGGCAACTTTTTGTGTGAGAAAAATTTAATAAAAAAGGATAAGCATTTGCCGTTGATCAATCCCTTTGGGATGCGGCACGCATTCTACTTCCATTTGTACATTCGCAGTGGCGTTTGAATGCGATGTGGCCTATACAATGACTTGCGGGGGCCAGCCGATGTTCAAGTCAGTGTTTTTATCCTCCCAGACAAGTCTGGTACCAATTAACCGACCCCGGAGGGATGGAAGGCTTGGTTGGCCCGGGCGACTCACGACCCAGGATTTGATCCCGGACCGCTCGCGTGGTGAGCGCGCCACTTGTCACTGCACCACTTCCGCCCATAAAAAATTAAGTTATTCCCTTAAATATCCGACTTTTTTGGAGAGAGAATAGTAATATCATTTTATGTCCTTTCACTGCGGTTAGAATTTAGAGAAGGCATAAAATCGTTTGCAAAAAAGGTTATGTACTTAAAAATGGTGGGACCACAATGACAAACAGTCATCGGGCTGCGAGTACGTTACACACTGCGGCCCCTGCTATAAATTCATTGTTGAAAAATATACGTATGTGGCGAATAACATGATATGTTGCCAGAAATACAGATATTTGCTCTGTAGAGATTTGGACAACAGGAAGATATATATAAATAAAAAAAAAAGGATAAAGCATTTGCCGTTGATCAATCCCTTTTGGGATGCGCGGCACGCATTCTACTTCCATTTGTACATTCGCAGTGGCATTTGAATGCGATGTGGCCTATACAATGACTTGCGGGGGCCAGCCGATGTTCAAGTCAGTGTTTTTATCCTCCCAGACAAGTCTGGTACCAATTAACCGACCCCGGAGGGATGGAAGGCTTGGTTGGCCCGGGCGACTCACGACCCAGGGATTTGATCCCGGACCGCTCGCGTGGTGAGCGCGCCACTTGTCACTGCACCACTTCCGCCCAGAATTCCCATAATTGATAAAAAAGCGTGCTGCGGAAGTAGAGGTATATAAATTATGCATGTAAAAATAAATGGCCACAATTTGATGTGGTTCCAAAGGTAGAAATTGACTGAAATTTCAATGGTAAATACAAATTTGGTAAAAAAAAATTGAGGTCAGATAGACCCGACAACCCAGTATTATTTTTGAGCTTTGGAGTTTTTGAAGAACTGAAGGTCTTTGTCCCGATTTTGCTGAATATTCTTTTTTTTTTGATTTTTTATTCCTTCTCTTTTGAAGGTTTATTTGATTTTAATTAATCAGTTTTATCTCTTTTACTATTTCCATCCTTAGTGGATTTTATGTTCGTTTGATCCCTTCTATTTTCAACAAGGTATATTTCTATTTTTCCTAGCTTTCCTTTGGCTTCTTCTGAGCATTCTTGTCACTTTATCTGGTTCTGGAATCTGCTCATTTAACCCTATTCCTATTCACTCCCACATCTCTCCATCCTCTAATCATATCGTTTCCTGCTCGATTTCCCTGATATAATTGCGAGGAGTATTCCCATGCTCTTCATTATGCACTGATCTTGTTAGGTCGATTCCGTCGCCGGAAACAAAACGCATTACCGGCTGTCGGCCGCCAATCTATTAGATTGCCATGCATACTCGACGACGATTTTATCGCCCAGCTTCGGGTTCGAGAGGGAGATCTGAGCTCATTATTGATTCGTCCTTAGTAAATCCTACTTGATCACCAACTTCATTGTTTGCCTTCCAAAATGGCCTCTCGGAGGAACATTATACTCAGCACGTCCGCGAAGGTTGCCAATTATTCGTCGAAATCCTTGCCCCATTGAAGTACCGTATGAAGACTTAATTACCGTATGCGATGAGTAATCGATTTCGTAACCACCTTCTCCTACGCAAAGCCTGCCGGACTCGTTTGTCACTGTTAGTCGGCCAGATGTTGCCAGTTGGAGACACTCCGATGAGAAATGCCGCTTTAGGAGACCATTGGCACCAATCCAACTCCATTTACGAATGCATAGTGCGTTGAATCAATGTGTGAGCTTGATTGAGCAGTTGTGGAGTCTCAGGGGAGGTGGTTATCTGTCGTATATCTATACTCATGCTCATATTGGCCTAACTGAATTCTCTTCGCTGTTCGCCTAGCCGTAGCCGACTCCAATTAGCGCAATGGCTTGCGTAAACATTCGAATCGAAGGGTTCCCTCAACAGGCGTGTGGAAATTGCAAGTTCTCAGCCAATCACCTAATAGGGACGAGGGAAACGAGGACCCGATCGTAGGGGAAGGGCATGTCCGTGAGGAAAAGAGGTGTTGTTGAATGACGTCCTTGTCGATAATTCAAATTTAAAAAAGGCTCCTTTCATGGCTTGAGCTCTCAAGAAAGTTATGCCCTGTTCTCCTTGAGGAATCTTATGAGCTACCGTTGTCTCCCTCAGGGACCTTCCGGGCTACAATGGTAGCTCAAAGATTCTTGTACGGCGACAGAGATAGTCTTTACTCACACCCGAAAGTTCGTTTTTGCTACAGTCGCGTTTCCCTTGTGGAATTGCTTGAAAGGGTCAAGGGTGGCATTGATGATACTAATGGTTTTTACAAGCCAAATTGCGAGGACATGCGAGGAGCAAGAAAGAGAAACAAGAGAATAGTTAAGCTTAAGAAGAAAAGCTGAAATACGAGAAATGGTTGAGAGGATTCGCCGAGGAAAAAAATGGTTTCGAGGCATAGTAAACCCCGCACAAGTATAAAATCGTACTAACCAGTTTTTATGTAATTTATTTATGTACGTTTATTTCTTTTATATATATGACATTTTGGAATCCCAACTGCCTATGGCTGTTGCTGAAAGCATTTTGTCTACGTCATAATTTTTTTAACCTGTCGTTCCGTAGAAATGAATCTAGCCGAAATAAAGATTGGTCAAATGACTAAAGAGCTGCCAATAGGAGACTTTGAGAATAGACAAAAAATTAGCTGAAGAGAATACGACATTCCAGCCCTGAGTGTCGCTAAAAATAGGATGAAATTCTGCTCGTAAATTTCGTACTAAGCATCGTCCTTTCGAAATGTGATGTTTTCCTATTCATAGAATTCCTGAAGACTCCTATTTCATACATACGACGGCACTTATGCTGATCACATTCTGAGCATGTGCATTCGGATAATAGATTCTAGAAATCCTAATGGGTCAGGCGTGAGAAGAATTTGATTTAACCCCACCGTGTAATGAACGAAGGAAGATGCTTGCAAAAAATAAGGTGGAGGATATTCTTCACGAGGGATAACTTTAATATTTTTTTTTCAAGAAAGGCGGTGAATAATATTGGAGACCTGTCATCTCAAGATACAGAAGATAAATATACCTTTGTGAAACCTCTACTAGTTCCATCACCATTTTCAGTACCATTCTTTTCAGTACAACATCAATGGGACGAAATTGTACCAGGAATCTATGGAGCCGGAATATGAGGTTCACGGGACTAAAGGAAACGTTACAGGGGTGAGTTTGGAAGAAGACTTATTCACATTCATTTTTCATCTAAACAGCTATTGCTCGATTATTCTATAACGGTGGCATATCCAATTTATGAATACGAACAACTTTCTGGGTTGGATACCAACAACAAGACCATCTTTTCAATTTTAAGCGTTTTGAACACTTCATAAACTTCGATCCCTTAATATGTATGTACTCAATTTTCTTTTCTAGTATGTTTGCCAATCCTAAAGTTTAACACTCAGAATATCCCCATTAATCATGGGAAAATAAAGCCTGTTTCGGGATGCGCCATGCATTCTAGTTCCATCAAAGCCATTACGAAATCATATGTGACCACACACTTTAAAAAGACGATCGCAACGTTTTACGACTCAGGTTTTGCCCCCTCCCGTAGATGTGGCACGATTCAACGATTTGAAATGTCGGCAGGGCGCTGCGATTTCTAGTCACTCTTCCATTTGTGACTCCACGATAGCGGGGTTGCCAAAGAAGAACACTGCACTTCACAATTTCAGATAGTTTAAACTTACTTCGGCTTAACTCAACGGACTGCTTCCCCGCTCAAAATTAACAACACCATTCAATAAGTAAAGTTCTGATAGTGCTTTTTGCTGCACGCATGGAACTATCAGATAAATTTGCCCTGGGCATCTGTGCATAATTGAGTGCTTACTGATCCCCATGCCATCACGACCAGTACGCCGTAATCTGAGTGATCCCAATTGAAGGGGTCCTGCCCTTTCAGCAGCTAATTGTCCCCACTCTCAACCTGCGCGCACCCCCCTGCTGCGAGAAAAACTTAGATAATGTGAGCCACAGGCAAAATGTCTTTTTTGACCATCCTTGTAGTGTGCACGGCAAGCGACATCACTTACCCCGCCACTACTGACCAAGTATCTGTAAGATGCCAATCAAAAACCCTCATACTAAATTGGTATTCGGATTACTGTCAAATCTCTCCTTTATTTACTGAGCTGCTAGATGGAATTATTTTAGAACGTTCGAAAATTTCTGAGCGCATATTCCGAGCTCTCAAAATATTCCGTCAACATACGATTCAAAAACTGCAGTAGTTGGCAAAAACGAATTTAGATCACCCGTGTAGGTGATCGATTTTATTGTGATCATACTCCAATAATGTGTTTTTTCTTTGATTAAAATTCACTGCTTGCATAATGGAAGGATTTCATTTCAGCCCAAAGAAGAAAAAGTTCTATTCAAAACTACGTTTACAAACACTACACAAAGGGAGCAAGAGTATTCGTTCAAAACAGGAACGATGCACAAGGTAAGACTATGCAGCAGTTGCAGCGACCAATCTTGACCATGATCCTTCGAACCTTTTTGACTTGCGCCATCCCATTGCGTCCTTTGCCAACTTCTCCTGACTCGCGAACTTCGCTACCCTTTTCAAGAGCCGAATCCTCTTCCAGCTCACAACAACTGCAATTCTAGAATGGAGCTTGTGTAATGTTCCGACATTTCATGTCCTCTTGAAGACGAAAAATGGTGCCTTAAATGCAATATTCGAAGGCTTCTAAGCATGCTGATCCCCAGACGTCGGCTGAAGATTTGCGTACATTACAACAAAGAAATGTGAATTACTTTATCCTTGGAAGGAAACCTTTCACAATCTTCTCGAATTCTAAAAGGTCACATGAATGTCACTTTGTCAGAAGAACAGCACATTTGACCTATTCACATTCAAACTAAGTTAAAAGAGGCGATTTCTTCAAGAGCTCCTTCAGTTCTCTGAGCGCTTCGATGCGGGGCATGCTTACGAAGGCGTAGTCCATTTTCCTCATGGAAGGAATGTTGTTGTTTGCAATCAGTAGTACAGAACTATGGATACCTTCATGGATACCATGATCTTTCAGTTGAGGAGAACTAAAGAAGATAAATAGCTGGAAACGGTGACGACGCTGGAGGAACTCACAAGGAGGAAAAAGCGCGGCTTGACGAGAGAGTTTGAAAGAATCGAACGAGACCAGATTGAGCCATACACGACGCGTCGCGTCATTTTTACAATTTGTGCCTTGCCAGAGGGCGAGTAATTGGCGCAAGGTGTACCAATCCTTGCTACCCACACTGCATTAGAATCTACACAGCCCTACACTTGTCAGAACAGCCTGAACCTCGGCGCTTGCAGGGATGTCGACCACTTACAAGAGACTTCTACATAAGGTCGACTTGGGGGTCAAGGAAAGCTTACTGCGAAAAAAAGCTGGACTTCTAAGGATGCGGACCGACAAGCAATTTGCAGGCGAAGAATGGCCCCGGCGACATAGCATGGTCCGTTTCGCGGCGCTATCGACGCGGCACGCCCACCGACTGGCTAACCACTCGCCGCAGGTCTCTAGCCGTTTAGCAGAGAGAGCATTAGCGTTGAAGAGGGCAGCACCGATGAGAGTCGCATCAATGCGGAAATCGGGAAGGGGTCCCACTCTTCGGGTTTTGGGCCGTTTCTCGTGATTTTTTTTTCATCTCGACTCCACTGACCACCTCCACTTTAATTATAATGAGCTTTCTGATCGCAAACTCCGCCTTCAGCATAAGATTGTGGAGAGATGTATTCTATAATGTGAATTTTCAGGAGCTCTTCTACAGTGATTATTGAAAAAGGAGTATGCCGTGGAATGGAGGTGGCGTTGAAATTGAAAACGCCCTGTGAAGGTCGTCGAAGCGAACGCCGGTTTCCATCAAGAAGTTCAATTAAATCATATCGGTAAGAGCTGATTCGCCTCTTTGAAATGGAGAATGAGGGTGTGGATTAGATTTTTCATCACGCCTGGACTTTCCTGAAACTTCCCATGACCTCTTTTGAATACCTACTAAATTAGCACCTTCTCCTCTTATTTGTTCCTCTCCTCCTCCATCTAGGTCCTTTTTGAATCAACGGCTCTATATGATATTACTCGTTAGATGGTCCAGCGGCTGATGTGTGAACTTCTCTTTACAGGCTAGGAAAACACGTCCTGGCTCGAAGTACATTTGGATTGATCAAGGTTATTCCAGGTGAGAATACCAGCGAAGAAGAACTGTGTTGGGGTGTGGACAGTACTGTTCGAGTGCCACCATCATCTGAAACCGTTGCCGAGTTGGTGATCCTTGGAAGAGCAGTGCAGCCGCGACTTCCGAATCGAAAATCGAATGAGCGGCAAAATTCTTGTCACTGGTGAGAATTTTATCTATGATTTTGGGATTTTTTTTTCAATTTCCAAGGCAAGTTGACAAAATGCTGCAGAAACCCGGCTGTTTTCCTATTTGGGTAGTGGGAAGACGCACTCAAAATTTGATTTTGTCCTTTTCACCTATCATTTATTGTTACTTTAGCCGATAGTGCCCTTCCAATAAGCCACAAGTGCGGTTCATACATGAATAGACTGTGATCATCATAATTTTATTCGTTCAATCCCCTCTAGACCATAGGCTAGCGTTTCGGCCTCCTCACTTTCACTGAAGCCTAGGAAATAGAGAAAAACGCGATAAATCC